TGCAGCGGTATCAACTTATTTTTTTCATGTCTTTTTGCAACAAGTCTGAATACTACTTTAGGAGGGCAACTTTCCCCCATTCAATCCAAATCTATGCAATGCAAAGTCCCATGAAACTCAGTAAACTAAAATAACCTTTTCCTCCAAACTCCTTCCCTGAAATTCTTGAATAGTCGCCTGTGGTTGAACTGGAATGCGTTTGGAAGGGTTTGAATTAAGCGCAGCTAGCCCAAAAGACACTTTGGCTTCCTACAGAGGTGTAAAGCATAAAAAAGGGATCGTGGTGGACAGTGCATTGTTACTGTGAATTATGCAGTGAGCTGAAAGGACACTGGAATAGTCATCAAAGTTCCTAAGAGCTGCTCTCTTCCAGATGAGCTAATAGAGTGGCTCTGAGGTTAACTGAAATCAAATTTAACAGTGCTGTAAAATACATTTGCTGTATTTGACTTCTTTCTAAAGTTAGAGTAGTGATTCTGCTGACCCTAGTGTCAGTAACAGCTCCATTTAACTCAACATCATCTGCATGAAGATGACCACAAAGTTTTACCTAAAGTGCATATGACAAGCTGTAACCTTCACAACGACTGATGCACTTTTGGAAAGTACTTTTCTAAGAAACCAGAAAGCATCAATCAGAAAGCTACGAAACCATTCACTGGGTTTTCAAATATCTTCCCTTAAATAACACTCAGAAGGAAGGTGTCATTGTCCAGCACGGTTTCATGAATAGGCTGACCTGATATGCGATTGCTTGTAAAAACAGTCCTGAGAAGAAAGACCTTTGAGGTCCTTTCCAGTCCTATGTAATGGAAAGATGACACTGGAGTTATGAGAGGCTTACTGCTGTAAATGATCAGCATCTCATTAATTTGTTCTGTAAAACTTGAATACGTATCATTTTATGTCCCTATAAATTTTTCAGGTACGGAGCTAGTATTAATTATTGATTGGATGTCGATGTGTCGACTCCCATCGGGTACAATTAATAACACATGTCAAACTGCAAGATGATAAATGCGTGTTCTTTGAAAGTGAGTTAGAATGCATCAGGTGCTTTTATTTTCCATTATCAAGAACTGATTTATAATCTTAAAAAATTGTTTTCATTATACTTTCTGAGGGGAAAAAGGAATTTTACACCTTAAGGCTGTATTCTCTTTGTTCATTTGAAAGACCACTGAGATGCAACACTTAAAGTTTGCGTATCTTATGGCGGCTCTGTAGATCTGTTGCACCTTTTCCCCCAGCTAAAGCCTCACCCTCGATGGTGCCATCTTCCATGTCCCTACAGGAGCCCGTACCATCTGGCAGGCCTTGGCTAAGCTGGGGTTGTGACCAGCAGAGTAGGTGTGAGCAGAAACACAAACATGGGCTACAAAATGAGGGATCACACGAGTTACATCTTCGTCTGGGAGCAGGAACTGACTGCAAGAGCACAGGAGTCTCAGCTATTATATTAAGATTTAAGTGTAACTCTGACCCACGAGCATGAATAACGAAAGTCTCATTGATTTCAATTAGAGGAGGCCTGGGTCTATTTACTGTAACTGAGTCGATTCTCAGAAAAATAATTAATTCCTTGTCATGTCTCACGTGTATTGATTTTTGTAATTACAATGAAATTGGAGGCAAGGATGGGGGGAAGGAAATGCACTTGATTTATGTTTTATTTGGTACTCAAGCTGTCACGGACAAAGAAATTGAGATGCAATGACCATGCCCATCCTCGATGCACTCCTCTGCGCTTAGATAACGAGTGCCAGACACATGCTGTAGTGGAGAACCTAAAATCACACACTGCTCTAACATACAGAATTCAGTCCTGCGGCGTAAAGAGCTGTGTTTCCACAGCAGCCTCCACAGCATGCAGAAGAGATGCCCAAGGGGAAAAAGATAAGGACAGGACAAGCTTAATGTGTATCAATGACTAAGAGGAGGAGACAAAGAATTAGAATGGGGGAGAAAAGAAATACAAGCTGTTGCTGATAATAAAGCTGCCAGTAGATAATGTAAGAAAAAAAAAAAAAAAGGAGTGAAAAGAAAATACATATGGCCTTGCTTGGCAATGATGCTGTTAGGAAAAAGACAGTGGCATGAGAGCATTTGAATTTTGTTTCTACTGTGCTTTCACTCAAATGGCAAGTTAGAAATTTTTTGACCTAGAGTCAGTCAGTATTTTACTTCTTAATTAGGTGACAGTCTCCTTTTCCAAACATGTTCGTGGGAGTGGTTGGCCTGTTTCCATACACACACACACACAGATTTGATGATAATACTCAAGTTCTAGTTTCTACAGCATCAGAGATTAGTTTGTCATAAAGATATCCTCATTACTTACACACAGTATGACATTTTGGGCCCATTAAAGCCAATGCCTACTCTGCTTT